AAAATCTCTGCCTCTCCCTTTCACATAACAAACTCCTAATCATCCTCCAAAATCCTGATTAAATTTCCCCAAGAATCCTCTCTTCATTCTCGTATATTTGTCTTCTCCACGTATTGCCTCGGACCTACCCACATTATAGAACAGGTAGCATTTTATTGCTTTTATTTATTTAGTCTTTCCCTCTTTACATATTCATGTTCCCAATTCATTACATTTCTCAGTGCCTAGAACAGAAGTGGGTATTCAAAAAATATATTTTAAAATAAAAGAATGAATTACTCGCATGCTTTCTTATGAAAGTTTATTACATCCACAACGATCAGCAAAAACTGTGTGATTTTGAAGATTTTGTGACTCTCGAGCCAGGTCACTTTCTCTAAGATTGTGTCTATAGACTGTGGGTAGCCCATTTTTGTCTTTTCTTTTGTTACAATAAAATGTTTAGACTGCCTGGCACGCGTGACCATGACTCAGCTCCTCTCTGCTCAGCCCCTTCTCCAAAGCACCTGTGTCTGGATTGGTGACGTGGTCCAGATGGACAGGTGGACAAAGGCAGGTGGACAAAGCTTCCACTGCTACGGCAGCAACCCCAGGTCTTGACGTAAACAGCAGGCATATTGTTTTTTAGCACAGTAGCCTATTTGAGTTTCCATATAATTACAATATTCTTGACATTGGCCTTTGGTTTTCCTGCAGTTGACAACTTTGAAATCTGGTACAGGTTCTGTATAAAGAAATAGTCAACATTAGCCTCTTCAGACCACCTCAAGCATCAAACAGTGGTCATTTTAGCCCAAAGGGATATGGGGAGAATGGCAATGGATAGGAAACAGATTTCTTTCACAGCCATTCTGATGGGATAAAAGTCAGATCCTTGATTTGGGCTTATGTCATCTTCCCTGTCCCTGGAAAATGAACTGTTGATCAGAGCAATTATGAGGAGAAATGGTGATGTCTGTGTAACAATACAAATGGGACAATTGAAATAATTTAGAATGTTGTGTGAGGGGACGAATAAGAACTCTGAGGCAAACTGGGAACAGATATGGCCCATCAAACACGTGCTGAGGGGTCGAACAGCCCTTTGAGGATGTGGGTTGAGCCCTCCCTGTAAGGGAGATGGGGTATCTAGGGTAGATCAGGTGAACAGGGGAAGCAGAGGGGAGGGTTTTAAAGAGCTGAAAAGATTTATTTTCGCCCCTACTTGTGAGGGAGTGCCTGGAAGAGTATTTGTTATCTTAAACATGTGACAAGTTACTTGGGCAATGTACAATTCTTATCGAACGCTGTAGTTCAACTACAGAAATTGTTAAACATTCATTTTCCTCTTACATGGTCTATTATGATGACAACTGATAGAAAAGAGGAAGGGGTAAGTGTTTAAAAAAAGAAAATAATTAGATGAACACAATGAAAGCAGGAACACAGTATCAGACAATTAGCGTTCCGTGTCTGGCTGGGGAGGACTTCTGATGGATGCCATGCCAAAGGCGAGCTAATTAATAGGCTCTGCCCCGATCTGAGATTTGACCTTCAGACAAATCGGACGTGAAGGGATGTTGCCCTCTTCCTATTCTAAGTTCTTTCACCAGTGTGCATTACAACTGTTTGACTAGATCAATGAATCAATTGGTCAATCAATTAACATTATTTTCTATCACTTCATTTTCTCACTGATAATCTTTTTTTTTATGTACAAAACCCTGCACATGTTGAATGTATACAGTTTGATGAGTTTGAACATATGCATACCCCCATGATTCCATCACCACCATCAGGATAATGAACGTCCATCACCTCCCAAAGTTTCCTTGCATCCTTTCAATTTGTTTTTTCTTGTGGTTAAGAACACTTATCATCAGATCTAGCCTCTTAACCAATGTTGAAATGCAAAATACCACTTTGTTAACTATAGGCACTGCGTTGTAAGGAGAGCTCTAGAATTGATTCATCATGTGTCACTGAAACTTGACACTCAAGCATTGAGAACAGACCGGCACAAAGTGAGCAGTATGCAAATATTACCATCACTCACAATAATATCTCAGTCATATGGATTGCCACAGTAACTCATAAGACACAATGATCTCGTGTTAGGAATCTCATGTTATGATAAAGACAAGTTCATTACAAAATTTTGCCCACTGAGCCATCTTTTTCATGAAACAAAACCAACTTACCTGACCATTCATTGAAAGATCATTGAGAACCTGCAACATGCCAAGTCCTGCTCTGGGTGTTGAGCTTAGCTTAGTGAACACGCAGTTGATCCCTGACCTCCTGGGTCTTATTCTCTCCTGAGGTTCACATTTCCCACTAGCTTTTTTCTTGGAAACATAGGCAGAGCATCAAGAGGATGCAGAAATCGTGGGGCCCAGAGTCTCCACCGGGTGGATCACAGTCAATGGGTCATTTTGAGAGCATTCAAGGTCAATCTCCAAGCCTTCCAGTCTCTTCGTCATGTTGCCTTTCCCTGTTCTCCATGATTTTGCCAACGGCATCCTCCTGTAACACCAGCCTTGGCTCCCCTAACCTTCTCCTTCCTTCTGCTCCGGGAAACAGCCCTGCTGACTACCACCCGCCCTCCACATGCACACACATGAATGAGAACAATTCAATCGCTTTTCCTGCTCGGTGCTATATAGTTGATCCTTCTGTTGTAAGAATAGAGCGATCGAGGCCCGGGAAGCCCACACAATCCCCTTGAAGTTCACTGCTCAGGGCTGCTGCAGGCCGGGCACGGGTGTGATTAGCAACAGGCTCTGTTCCTTAAAGACTCTTCTCTTCTTCCCACAGCCGGATTACTGAGGTCAGACTCCTCCAAGGCTTGTAACGGGAGAGGGGCTTGAGGCGAGCAGAGGCCGGGCTTTCCTGCTGGTCTGTTCTGTGAGAAGCTGGCTTTGTGCCTTTGGAGTCAGTTGGCAGGAGGACACGTCTCCACCCGGCTCATGGCTGACTCCTTCCTTGGCCCCTAAGTATCTGGTGACATCTAAGGCACGTCTTCATTGATGTGTCCTGACCTCAACAGTGTCCCTCTTCAAGGGACCAAAGGCGGCTCCTGCATGAAGCCCAAACCTGGATCACCTCCTCCCCGCCAAATCCTTCAGGATGCAGGCCCATTTCAAAGCAGCAGCAACCTTTCCTTTGCACCTGCCAGTTGGGGAGCTCCCCTGAGCAAGTCCCACTTGTTAGATTTTGGAGGCAGGAGAACTGCCCGTCCACCGTAGCCGCATACAGGAGAGACGCAAATGTAGGCTCTCCCAGTGACTCTGTTGAATGGTGTCTTCTGTGGCATGGGGCGGGAGCAGGGCCCCATGCCCTTCCCATCAGGAGGAGGATGGGCCTCTTGCTCACCAATGGCCCTTTCCAGGGAGATTACTGCAAAACCCTGCCTCAGTTTCCACTCTTCTCTCACACCCTTGTGAGAGGGTGAGGATTTAAGGCTTGTCTCCCTGGTTTTAGTCGCCTCCTTTATACAGTGTGGTCTGCCTTTCCACTCACTATACTATTCTGAACCTTAGCTGAAAATTCTATTTTAGCAGCTTCTTAAACACGCTGTTACAAACAGAAAGTTCATAACTCTTAAGAGAGGAAGATATGTCTGAGAAAGAGAGAAAAACAAGACTAGAACAGGTGGGGGAGAGGCCCTACAGATTTCTATTTATTTGGTAAACGAATTAACTTCCTCATTCCTTCAAGGCAAAATTATTTAGGACATTTAAACACGCTATGGCTGAGTCGGGGGACGTTCTCGGGACCAGGAACTTAGAGTCTAGTGGGGAAACAAACATGTAAACAAATATTTAAATTCAATATAATAACTCCATAGTAGAATCTGCACAAAGCGTCTGGGGAACAGAGAGAACAACCAACAGTTACAGAAAATGCTAAATTTAAATGGATGTTAGATGTATCATCTAACTGAGGTCTTGAACAAAAGTGAGACACGTTCCTCATAGTTGTGCAAAGAATTGAGAGAGCAAAACATTCCCAGGAATCATCACGTGGCTTGAGTGCCACGGAAGTAACAGGCATGGTGGGGAATGTGGGTAAAGTGAATCAATGTCAGACTGAGACAGACTTTTCATGACTGGGTAAGGGTTTTAAGAATTTAGTTTCTTAGTCATCTATTTTTCAACCCTACTTCTGTGGAATGTATGTTTCTAGACATAGATGGAGGTATTACGCCAAGACAGAAAACAATTTTCTTTTCCCAGTTCAGAGAAAAACAATTAAGAGAGAATTTTCTCCTTCTCTTGCTACTAAGTTTCCAGTCTTGTTTTCCCTGTTTCAGGGTCAGGCATGAGTTTGGGATTGCGGACACCATGGAAAGTACTGTCTCCTCTATGGCCTTATGGATTTGAAGCTGGTCCCAGGTAGGGGGTTGGAACTGACCAGAAAAGTGGCTGTGGGCCATGTGTCCTTTGTCACCCCTCTGCTCCGCCTCATTCAAGTAGCCTGACATGACGGTCTCCCCTCAGCCATGTCGGCCCAGGGAGCATTCGGTGAGCACTCATTTTTTGTGTGGTGCTTAGCACGTGTTCAGTAAATTCCTGTAGAATGCACGAACTCCAAGGCCCAGGGAGCAGGGCTCCAGCCTCGCAGAGGAGGGGCTGTCTCACTTGACATCATTGCCTCTGGCTACCAGGTTTGAGTGCAGCCCAGAGGCTGTAGAAGTGGCCTCCATACTTGTGCCTCCCAGCCTCCCAGGTGTCACTGACCCATCCCAGGGTGGCTGTAAGACCCCTGTGACCTTTCTGATGGGCTGGGCAGCCTGAGCCATCCACACAGTGTCTGCGTGAAACCCAACCTGTCCTTACTGTCAGCCACTGCCCAGCCTCTGCCCCACCCATCCAGTCATCGGGTGGGTAGAGGTGTCACCTTCCCATCCATTCACTCACGATACGTTTCCGGGGTGGGTGAACTCGTCACAGGTACGGTGACTTACCCTTGTAAGGGGGAGTGTGTGGTAAGAGGTAGTGTTTTCCTCGGTGGAGTAGCCAGTGGGGCTCACTTGCCCCTTCTGCAGGTGCTCTGGGACCCTCCGTGCCTTCGTGGGTAACATACCTGGCCCGGGACAACCCTGTTGGAGAGAGAATACACAGCAGAGAACTTTCTGAGCTCTCCATTCAGCTGACCCATGAAGTCGAGGCACATTCACTCTAGCGGGGGAGGTAGCGTGTGGGGGGACGGCATGGGAAGTTGCTGCCCCATGGGGTAGTTTCAGTCGTAGAGGATGGGGAGTCCCAGGCCCCACTGCACAGCAAAGTCTGTAGTTATCACAGCGTTGTGCACAGTAAAATCTGTTAAGAGGGTCTCAATCTCATGTTACGTGTTCTTATTACACACAAACGTAAACACAAAGGGACACAGGGAAACTTTGGGGGGTGTTGGGTATGTCTATTCCCTTGGCTGTTAGGGGTGTTTGCATATGTCCAAACTCATCAAACTATACGCGTTAAATGTATGCAGTGCTTTGTCTGCCAATTACATACCTCCATTATTCTGTAAAAATAGAGAAAGTGGAGCATGGGTTAGAGTGGTTTGGCAGGGGGTAAATGTAATTTGTGTGTGTGCACATTAGTATGCACCGTGTATGTGCGTGTGAGAGAGAGACAGAGAGAGAGAGAGAGAGAGAGAGAGAGAGAGAGAGAGAGAGAGAGAGAGAGAGAGAGGTGATGCCCAGAGCACTCAACAGTGGAGTCTTCCAACCTGGAAGTGATCACTGCAGAGACCTGGCCCCCATGCCCAGGTGACAGTTCCCATTTACCTGGAAACAGCAGGGCCACTGATGGCGGGAGGCATGGCTTCATGTGGCCGAGGGGACTGCAAGCCTGGCAGGTCTGGGTGACCCCACAGAGAGCAGGGCTCCCGTTATAGCTGAGCTGGTGGAGTGCAAGGGAGCAGGGGAAGAGCTGCATTCAGAATAATTTCCCGGTCACAAGGGACACGTGCAGACACATTCCTTTCCCATGCTAGGGAACAAACGTTAAGCCATTTTTCTCAGGAAGTGAGTATTATGCCTGAATGCCTTGAGTGGGCTTGGTGAATAAGAAAGGACAGGGACCGAGAAGAATAGCAAAGAGAGGAGAGAGGCAAAATAAATATGTCATTAACATAAAATCACCAATTTCCTCAAGTGCTATTCGTTCAAGTGGTGACATAAATGAAGCCATTATAGTGCTTCTGTCCTGTCTTCTGAATGTATTTATCTTAGTGTAAAAAAAAAAAATCATGCAGGAAAAGACAACACTTCAGGTATGACCTGATTTTCAAACCTGTCATTTCTGCAAGTTCCACAGGCGGTGCCCACGCCAGTCCCAGCTTCCACTGCTGCTCCTGCTCCCCGAGTCTCTCCCTGTCCCTCGGCTCCTCCACGGCTCAGTCATCTCTTTGCCTCCTTATGACTTTAATTTTCTGACTCTTCTTCATCTCACCCCACCCTTCTATTGTCCTCTTTCCCCCGAACACCTGACTATGGATGCCATTGGGTCCAATTCAGTAGGCTTTAAATAATTCTGAAATTGAGTCTGGGTTCTCTTCTGGTAATAACGAAGCAGCAGGCCCTTCTCCCCTCTCCTTAGCGGGCATGCGGCTGTACGTTGTTGCATCATCTCAGAAATGCACCACCCAGGCAGCCTGTCCCGGACTCAAGCACAGAAGCACAGACTGATTTAAGAGAGTTCTAACCATATGACATCTACTAAAGCATCAGCCACCCGAGAAGGGCAGTGTTTATCCCCTGTGTCTCCTCTGCATGCACACTTTGGTCCAGAGAAAATGTCTTCATGTAAATGAAAATAGTTGGTCTCCACCTGGAGGCAGGTGAAGGTGGATGGACAAAGGCAGCAGCAGCAGAGACTTGGGCCTCAGAGAAGCAACGGTGAAGGATAGAAGGTCTGGGGCTGCGAACAGATGTGCACAGGGGTCCCAGCATCACCCCGCACCACCGAGCGGCCCTTAGGTCTCCAGACAGGTTCCACACGAGCGAGCACCGAGGGGCTGTCAGACATGGCGTCAGCACCACTCACATCCTTTTATTTTTAGACATTAGAAAATCTTCCGATTCCAAGAGGCACTGGGGACGCTGGCAGGGATGGGAGGCAGCTGGCCCGTGATAAGGGGCATCAGTCACTGAGGCCACCAGATGCGGACAACTGGATGCCGGACAAGGTAGATGCTCAGGAGGGGGGATGGGACGATGCTGTTACCTCCACTCCCGGTGCGGCTTTCTCTGATTCCCTCATCTACACGCTCTTTGTGCTTCTATATCCCAGTCCAGAAGCTATTTATTACAGCTGTGTTTATATCTATTTAAGTGTGGACTCGGGATCTTTTGCCAGAGATGCAAATTTTAGAGCACACAGGCAATTTATTCCTACAGATGTTTGACTTCCCTATTAAAGGAAATAAAAAGCTCAATCTAATATTCAGACATTAATAGTGATGAATTATGAATCGAAACATAACAGTATTTTGATAATCACCACTCAGCTAGAGGATTGTTCTAGTGCGTTACAATCATTTGATCTAATTAGATGAAGACATTGAGCCCCAAACAGTCACATCTGATGTCCTCTGTCTAGATCTTAAGGTACAATAAACCTTCCCTGCTACTTCTGAAAAGAACAACCTTGAAAATGAGGGACCAGAGAAAAGACTGTTCTGCTCTTCGATAGACAAAGGTCAGTGAAGCCATTCCAAAGGTAGCAGTGTTACATCTGCCCTAACAGGACAGAACAATTTTCTGAGCTCCTGTTCTCTTCCACCAGCATCCTGTGTTCTAGAAAAACTATACAACAAATTACCTGCTAAAAGCCACATCCACCCTGATGGGGAGGAGAGCAGAACCCATTACAGCGTATTCTAATCATTGTTTCTGCCTCTTTTTAAAATGTAGGTCCATGTTCTTTTGCTGTTACGCCATGAAATTAACATAATGTGACTTTGTAATTCCCTTCCGCACTGAGACTAGCAGCCATTAACATGAGTATGTGAATTATACTTGGGGGGGGGGTGAGGGCTATTTCAGAATCCAAGCCCATTAGAAAGTGGAAGGATGGGATATCAGGACAGCGAGCAAAAGCCAGGGTTCTTCAAGGCAAAGCAGGAGGTAAGGCCAGTCTAATTTTTTCTGGTGATGAGCTAGTTTTCTTTCTACTTGTTATCATCACCCCAGCCGTTACTTCTGTTGGTGTCAATTCAAGTCTGAAGAAGCCCCTTGCTTTTCTCTACTGCCATCTGGGAAGTCCAGCATGTCTGCTCTGTTGGCAAAACATCAAGTTGGAAATGAGACAAAAAATAATGGTAGAATGGGGCCAGATGTTGGTTCTCTGCTTGTAGGTGTTGCTTGAATGGCCATATCGCAGATCCCCGAGGCTGTCCGCTAAGTGGTGGGGCTCGGACTCCAGCAGAGCCTGCTATGCTGCCCCTGATTTGTGCTGGGAGGTGGGGGTCATGCCTGGTCCTCGAACTAGCCTGAGACTTCAGGAAAGCCATTTGTCCCTCTGAGCCTGGGTTTCTGCACCTAAAAAGGTTGGATGATGCCCCTTGGCATGACTAATTCATTGTGAGAATTGTGAGAATCAGAAGAGATTTTGGACATGAAAGTCCTTTGTAAAATACAGAGTGTGAGAATACTGAAGAGGGACGCCCACGTGATAAGTGAGCCAACTTAATGCCACATTGTCCTCCAGCCTGTTGTATTTGCAGGGCTGTCTGGCAGCTTCCGCCCTCCCCTGTCACTGGTGCGGTAAGATCTAAAGACCTGCTCAGATTCACATCTGATTAGGGGCACAGCATGTAATAGGCAGCATAGCAAGTATAAGACACCATCCATGGAGACAAACGACCAAACGCAGTATGTGGATCTTAGGATCCTAATTCTCAGAAACCAACTCTGACGAAAGCACGCTTATGAAACAGTCAGGGTCTTCTGAACGCTGACTGGCTATGAAGTTACATGAAGGAATTTGTGCTGATTTTTTTCCAGGTGGGGAAATAGTGCTGTGATTATATTTTTAAAAAGAGTCCTTTTCTCTGAGTTACATATTCCAAAGCATTTTCTGAGGAGGTGATATGGCATCTTCAGTATTCTTGGAAGTCATCTGGGAGGGGGAGCTTATCAAGAGATGAGACGAGCTAACCGCATCCTGAAACTGGGGGGCGAGGCTACATGAATTTTCCTGTGCTACGATATTTGGCCAAAAAGGGCCCAGTTCAGCTTAACAGCTCACACGTGGCGTTGTGCACAGCTGTCAGGAGGCAAACGTATCAGGTGGCCATTCCTATTGATTGTAGCGGCTATTGACACTCATTGGCTAGATGGTTATCTCCCTAGTTGTTCAGAAAAGGGTGATATTCTCATTCTATTATTCTTACTTTATTTATTAGCTGGGATACTTTTCTAGAGAGAAGGTTTTCATCATGAATCCTTCGGTTACCCTGAAATACAGGACATCCAAGTCAAATGCTCTATTACTCCCTTTCCTTACCCGTTTTCAGGACAGAACCTGGATGTAGCCACCCAGCGCTACCCAGGGCAGTGCCGCTCTCTGCTGCCACCTGCTGGATGTGACCCGCACAGACATCCACTTGGGTCGACCCCTTTGTTTGCACCCTTCTCATCCTCTATCATTTTTCTTTGTTTTTCTGCCCAGAAATCTATGTTTTGAATTATAATGCATGCCAAACAAACTTCACTTAATATTGATTTATTTTCCATTTAAATGAACAAAAGACATAAATAACTGCTAAGCAAAACGTCTGGCAAAACTTCTGATCAGAAAAGAAAACCAACGTTATCAGGTTCAGTTGAAATGATTCAGGCCAAAAACAAAGCAACAAAACAAAACAAAACATGCTCACTTAGGCTTGTGGCTGATCAGATATATTTTTTGGTTCAGATTTTAAAGTGTTGAAACCTACACTGAACCCACGTTACTGCCCTCCCTTATCACAACCAGAGACGGCCGGTGGCGCCCAGGATGAGCCTGCCCTCTGCCGCGCTGCCTCTGCCGTGGTGAGAGCTCGCAGCAGACCCACGTCTCATAACTGGACCAGCGGCTGCCCCGGGGACGTTCT